TCCAGCAGAAAAGCCTCTTTGTGCCGAATTTAAGGCAGCCTTATTCTTTTGTTTAATCGTATTATTAGCTAATGGTAAAAAGTACTATTACTTCATTTTTTCATTTTTTATTAAGTTTATTATTAATATTTCCTATTACTGAGACTATTTTATTGAAGCTACTATTTGAGAACTTTCCTTCACCTACAATAATGATATGATCAGACTGAGAAAAGACCAGCCAATCAATAATACATTTTGCATGTGTAGTTGATCATAAAAAGGCCTGTACCACCAGTAATTAGCTTTGTTGGAGCAGGTCCGGTCATTTTGTATCGGAACTGTCTCGGGGTATCTTAGCGCCAACTTCGCGCCCATCAAACCCGATCCTTGGTGTCATGCCTATGAAGCGTCACGCTTACCTCCACTCCAAGCCGCCACTGCTGGGCAGCCGGTGACCATGGCTTTTGCGCTTTCCCCTGTTGAGCGCTCTCCGGAGACCACCTCCATAACTTCGTTCAGAGAATCGTTTGGCAGATTTTGAATGCAGATTTGAAATCAGCATCAAAAAATGCGCCTAGCAGTATAGGTCCCATTTCAAATGGCCACTTCGACTTGGGATCCTTCCCTTGTTAGATAAGAAAGCATCTGATGGAATGATTTGATCAGCTGTTGTTCGCTGAAGTATTGCTTTGTCTGAATGCTATCATTGTATTCTACGTACACATTTTATTTGGATTTGTCCTATTCATGTAAAATTTCCTGATCCCCTTCTACGCAAATGATGAAACCCTGGGAAATGTGTGATAGCCTTCGAGTTTTCGTACATCCAATTAGTGTAGTCTCGTAATTGAGTGCAACTCTACATTGGATAGCTCACCGCTAACGCTCTCCCACCAAAATTCCTTCATTCATCTCACTTTACCGTTTTATTTGAGTACAATCCCGGATTACTCAATAATCTTCCATCTCCTAAGGTAGGTGTTTTTCCCACCAGATGACTCCTGCGACGTCGATAAGTGCGGAGGCTCACGAAAAAAGATTTGATTCCCGATTTACGAGAAAAGACAGATGATCTCTTGCTAAGACCTTTCCTAACAAGGGATTACTGCCTCAGTTAAGGCCTCCCATAACGCTCATTGTTGCTCAATCACTTCAAAATTCTTCGAAACTCAGCTGAATATTGACAACTTGTAAAGCAAAACAACCCGATTCGAGTTGTATCCAAATGTAACATAACTGACTTTAAGTAGACTTGTGAAAGAACCGAAAAAGGCAGATGCGTATTTTTCAAAATCGTGAAACCTTCTGGCAGGTGCTGTAACATAATCGATGTTAAAAGGTTGAAAGTTTGGTTGATCTGGACGGTTCGCTACGCTTCGCCCAAACACACATGCACCCACCCGCTCACATACACAAATACACACACAAAGAAAACAATGGAGCGTTTTTATCAGGCAACACTGTTAGTGACTGGTAGGGGTAATTCGTCAACCTCTCCGAAATCCCTGAACCTATCCCAGTGTCCCTGATTTACAGTAAAAAAGATCAGTCGTCCTAATTGTCAAAGAGATCGTTTATGATTGCAACTGACCTAATCTCTTTCTCAAAAATGATGGAGTTGGCACGATTAGCATCTGCTCCAATATTGCTTGATAGATCTCCAGAAAACATTACATCAGTCAGAAGAGGCAGAAGTAGCCTAATCTGATCAAGGTGATTGGTGGGATGGTGTGAAGTATATTATGATGAGCTCGTTGCCGTCATTGATACTGAACTATGAAGCTGTGCACGTTGGTCATATTCGCTGTAGTCTAGCTCAGCAGGTTGAAACAAAATGTCATCAACTGCAACAAGAAACACTTACTATATTGGAATTTGAATTTATTTACTTTCAGTCTGACTCGCATGAGGTCATGATCATCCTCATAGCCCTCCTTTTGCAAAAAAGAGGTAAAACGTTTTCATCACCTCTGTGGCGGTTTGTACCTCTGTGGTGACCTCAAATGTAGCAATCGGTATAGTTATGAGGCGGCCATCTCATTGATTAGTCGATTGCGAACTCAATCACGACACAGCGGCTCAGCAGGCGGTGAACTTCTGGCTGTTTTTGCGAGAGGGAGCGAAAGTCGAATTCATCACTTTAAAAAACTATCCATGTGTACTGTTACGAGCAGCGACCGCTCTGTCGGAAGGGAAGGGTACAGACATCGAGGAGCAAATATTGGCCATGTTGTAGTACTCAGGATCAGCGGACGTGACTACTGACTACACACCTAGATCAGTCGACCATGTGGGTTTTGCAGGGGAGGGAGTGATAAAAGGGGTTTATCTGGTGTGAAACGCCCATTTGGCTTCCAGTCATCCAGAGCCTTTTAGCGAATTCTAATAAAAAAGTCACTTATTAAAAAAGCGTGACGATAACGCGTAAGAATAATGTCCGAGGGACCTTTATAATTGGATCGCTGACTTTTTTTAAACTCACCTCACAACAAAAAAAGGGTGATACGGTAGAAAGGCCGACAGCTCGGTGTAAACCATGGACTACTGTTATAATGGATTTTTGATAAAGATGCTGTTGCTACCCGGCAGACTATAAAGCAGCTAACCCATAAAGCATTTTTTGTGGTAAGAGGCAATAAACTTATATGGGCAATAAAGTTTGAAAAAGAAGCTCAGAATGATGGGTGGCCTTCCGTCGAAAAACAAACTGACTGCCTGAAATGTACATGATAAAGACCTTATATTGCAGAAGAATATGGAAATATTTGAGATCCTTCCCCGTGGTGTCTCGGCATTCCGATAGAGCCGCATATGATGACTCTTCACTCTAGAAAATCGTTCAATCAAGATGACCGTTGCCAAGCACTATGGAAGAAAAACTCTTCTGAATGTCGGGCAAAACAATCGGGAAGTCTTCTATTTATAGTTTTGTTATTGCTTATTGCCTATCTTCCCCACTCGATTCTGACATTCTGACAACAATGATTTTTTTATCAAAGAGATGTTCAACAACTAAAAACTAGCGGTTTCGTATGAATAGATTGCGTGGGAGGATTTGTTTAATAACGAACAAATACTAGGTGGAGAATAAAAAAAAGCTTTTGTATAGGTAATTGGTGGAGTACGTATGAAAGGGATGGAAAAACGTTCAAAAGATCGGTGACCATATTCCAGCTATTTTGCAAGCTGCACTTGATAATGCGGATTGTGTTCCTCATTCATGCGAGGGTTGAAGCCATGGGTGGCCAATGAAGTGGAGGAAAGTCTGAAGAAACTGGTGGAACGGCCCACTAACTTCCTTAATGATCAACTAGCGGTTCCCTGATGCTTAGTCCCTTGTTGATGTTAAAAACCTGTCCGAGTCCTTGGTTAGGAAACGGTTTTTGAGCCTTGTACCTTGTAGAGGATTCCATCCATAAACTCTAGGTAGATGGAATCTCCATTCCTCAATTAATTCCTTGATTATCCTCCCATCAACGGTAATTTCGCAGCGCTTACGGTCCACTGTCATACTCTGAGCTGTCTACAAAAACAAACAACTTCATTGCTAAGATTCGACATCCAAATCTTCTTCAGGAACCCGTTTTGTTAGTGATAGACTAGTTCTGATGAACTGGTTTGAACCTAGCTGAGCACAGCCATCATAGTTAGTAGCTTTGTTCCAGCTTGAACTGCGTGAGTAGCTGTTGTGTGAATCGACTGCAAGGATTGAAATTTATTTGTAAACTACATATTAGCACCAATATATACAACAACAACAACTAATTAGCTCGTTAAAAAGTCATATCACAGAGCAAGATATCAAGCGAATTGTCGGGCCATTGAAAAAAATGTATTTGATAGGTTATCATATAAAAAAGCTGTAGATTGCAGTACAGAAGGGATTGGAGCACAGACGAAAGGAGGGAAAAAATGGGGGATGTAACACACGAAAGGAAGGAACAGGACCAATTCGACGGCGCGATCGCTTATGGGATGGAAAATGATGGTCGAAGAGAAACCGCAATGGGGATAACGACGGGATGGACGGATAGAGAGATAAAGGCAGAAAGCTCTCAGAAATAAAGTAGTTTATAAAGCGCTTTAAGATCGCAAGGCGATAGGATTGAGAATTTCGAAGAGACCAATTTCAATGAGATTTCTTGGAACTTCTTCTCTACGAAAAACTAATTAGTAAAGCATGCTATGAAGTTTACGACGGAAGCACTTCTTCAGCATTAGCGTCACCTCTAGCTATAAGGCACATGGAGGACAAAATGGTGACATTTCGTAGTTAGAGCTACTTCTACAGGAAATGGCCTGGAATTCAGGCTGGCGTAGGCATTTCTCGAATTCTGACGGAACGCCCAAATCGTGGCCGAACATAGGAGTCCATTTGAGCTACTATGTGCCCTATTTTTGGGTCACCATCTCTTTCATGGCGTCGACGCTTGTGCCTGCAATACAACATCTCTTATTGCCTTTGCTATGAGAGTAAAGTCACTTCCTAAGAAAAATTTTACGATTAGGAACTACCTATGATGACGGTGTCGGAGATGGCGATGAGCATGGCGCCACTCAAAAAGCGTTCGCTTGTGTAGACGTTCTAGTCGTCCTCCTTTTCTCACCATAAACCTCAAATTACACGGTACTCTTCAACGAAACGTTCAAGTTTATGTATAATGAGACTTCTTTCACACACGAATTCTCTTTTACAACGTTCCAGACCAACTAAAGGAGGGAGGGGTAATGTCTTTGGAGTTAATCAATCCCATTTCTGGGATGCGTCGCCGCCCAATTCGACTTTCATTCAGAATCTAGTGGCGTATTGAATGCGTATGCGGCCTATATACAGCTTGAGGTATACGGTCGATCTACAAGTCAGTGCTCACAGATGGGAAAATTCCAATTGACAGATCCCATAGAAATCGAAAGCTTGGTTGGCCTGGATGGGTATCAACCCGAGATTCGATCCCTGGATCGTGCCCGTGTGATTGTAAGCCCCACTCGTCACTACACCACCTCCGCCATCTAACCAACTCAACTATACTGACATTAAATTAGTTCACATATGGGGTTACCTGCTGTGGCTAGAGATGGCATCGACCGCCATCAGAAGCAAAAATAAGACAGAGAGCCATGTGGCATTCCGTAGTTCCATGTGGGCAAATGTGGGCTGGAACTTACAAATGTTTCATAAATTATCATCAACATAACTGCGCAGTACGGTAGCGATAACGGTAACCGGAAGCGGAAGACGACACGTGCGCGCACACCTTATCAATGCTGCAGAATGTTATAGAAGTGACAAGTGAGACAAATTCGTATGACCTCCAAAACGAGACCGCTATGTTCATAAAAGAGTCAAATAGGGGTTGGATTGTAGTTGATAGTGTTTACAGAAAGATTTTGAAACGAATCACTGTGGGAGAGGTTTTAAATAGAATTTTTTGCTAGCTAGAAAGCAAGCACAAAAAGGTCCAGCCAAAAAAGATCTTCGAACATGCCTGTTAAACTGATCATTTGTGAATAATGATGAATTTGAAAAGTGAAGATTAATTGGTTGAAGGAGTTCCGGATTCGCTGTTGAAAGTTTGGGGAAAGGCAGGAATCCCGCCTACTAAGCCGGTATCGTACAATCAGTTAAGTGAACAGGGACCATGTCATCCATTTTCCTGCTACGGACCATGATTAACAAATGGGAGTAAAATTGGAAAGGAGTTAGTGAACTTCCGTGAAAAGGCCCCCATGTGGGATGACTCACTCACTAGCCTATTTCGTCATTAACACTATTGAAAGAAGTTTCGAGCGCTGCAAAACTGAAAGGCAGGGTGTCAATGCAGACAGTCAATTACTTTGGTGGTATGTCTTTCCAGTCTATGTGAACCTGGCCCAATCAACGAAGCTGATACGGTAACGCTTGGGTGATTTTAGGGTGGGGTTGATTCAATATAGAGGAATGGCGCAATTATTGGGTCGAACTCTGAGAAAACCCAAAAAATTGCAGAAATTTTCAGATTCTGCACGCATATTTCATGAATGCAAATGCGGCTAAACTAAATTCTCCCTACAAAGTTAACGGGCCATTCTAGGAAGGAGGTTGGTATCTTCTCGAAAAAAGCTGTTAATTCGTGACTGTAGGGGGTGACATACAAGGGCAACGGTACTACAGAGTTCAGCAAAGTGCTGTGGCGGCCGTATGCAGTAGAAGGGTGAGTTAGCGATGCGACAATTACGTTTTGATGAGGGCGTGGTCAAGGGTGATCCGCCTGGTGCACGTCACAAGCTGGTTGGGCGAGGAAAAACTTGATAACTGGCAAGCGAAAATGAGCAATTTGGGGATTCAGTGGCACTCATGCATCATGTATCATTAGGCCTCACCGCAAGTTTCTTACCCAACACGATTATCAGAGCCGCATAGCTGTAGTCGGCGATGTGATCATCATAAGACGGACGGACGTGTTTCTTCCTAACTCCTTTTACCGACTCCCATTCGCCGGCAGCATCTCAGATAAGAACAACTCCCTTCGGCCCAGGGGACCTCTTCAAAAGCCAGATGGATGGGGAATATGTTGATTCCTCAATAGAAATTGACGATTACAAATTGACGACATAGGGGTAGATTTCAAAATGAAACGATCATATGGAGTTCTCAGGATGATACCTTCAGGGCTACGACAGCCCCTGTAAGATATCCGAAGCAATGAAGCCTTTCATTCCTTTGGGATTATCTAAGTGATGGCAACTTTGTGGAGTAGAATAATAGTGCTGATTTGTGCATCATTTGAGTCATGCAAGCAGTTACATTATGGCCCAATTGGACCTACAAATGCTACCATGATCCCGCCTGAAATTCGAATTGAACAAAACTCAACTACATAGGGCTTCAAGGGTGCCAGAAACTTTATCCTCGCGGGACCACTTTATTCGGAACTGCTAGATTTAGGCTTTTACTGTGGGAAATTCGGCAAAGTTAGCAAGTGTTTGCTAGTGAAAAATGACGGTTTCCATGGAAAAGCATATCTGCAAAGGCTTTCTCGTCCCTAAGCGACCCGTCTCAAAATGTTCTTCATAATTTTGAGAAACCATAAAAAGGTCTTTTCGAAAGTTGAAACTTTGTAGAAATGTTTTGAAAATTCGTCCCTAAGCGACCCGTCTCAAAATACCCTCTATAATTTTGAGAAACTATAAAAAAGTCATCTCAAACATACAAACTTTCTAGAAATGCACTTGAAAGGCAAAAAAAGTTTTCATTTTGTAGCTTTTATTCTGCGCGAGTTAATTAGCACTCTAAAGTGAAACTCTGTAGGTGGAGTGTGGATGTTGTTCGGCAGTTGTGTCTCTCACATAGACCCTAGTTTTTTGACAGTATCCTTTTAATCCGAGTACATTAAAGGGGGATTTGTAGAAGTCAAGTGGATGAAGTTGCTAAGTTAGCATGACTAAAGATAGCTGCTCAGTTTGGACAGCATATAATCCGGTTTTTCGCCAAGTTTCTCTATGAAAAAAAAGCTGGACTCCTTGTTTTCTGTGTGTCACCCATCTTTCGCCATTTTCCACGAATCGAGGTCAGTCTTTGGCGTAGTATGGCGCTGAATCAGCCCAGTGAGTGACTTGAAATCATTAATATGAGAGCGCGAGAGAGCGCGTTTTACGGCTATCGTTGTATCTTGTCCTGTTTGACGAAGGACGACGCATGTGGGGATGGAGCGCAATCACCTTTTTCCAGCATACACGAAAATTAGCTAATTTTACATTGACTGAAGTGCCCGGCTGTGGTTTGCATTTAATTGTCTACTGCCCTTATACCCACTTTTGCTGCTGCACTCTTTGATAAAAATTCTTTTCTAACAATCAGCAATCTGAAGGTTTTCCGGTACCGCTACGCCCAACTGGTTCTATTCGGTTTCCCTTTACCCACGACGGAAGTTGTCACTATCGTGAATATTTCATAATTAGATGTGTCGAGTACGCTTATTGTTAGGAAAACGAGACTGGGGCGAAGTTCTTTTTTTTNTTTTTTTTGTGTTGTTCAGTGCTACGGCTCAAATTCAGGATAGTCATCTTGTTTGAGTACGTATCTCAACACACAATGACTTGACCTTTAATTGGAATGGAGTACATTTTGCTTTGTAAATTAGTCCAGCCTTGTAAGGTGAACTCCTGGCTCCCTCTACTAAGAAAAAAAGAATTTGAGAACAAGAGCGGTTGTTGGTTGGACAAGTTTTTCGTTTGGCAATGCGAAGTTGCAAAGGGGTGCCACCCACGCAAAAATTCAAAAAGAGATTTCGCAAGAAAGTGACTCAAAAAGTCATTGTCTCGCTGAACGACAGGGCAAAATAGTGGCAGCTGGAAAGACGGACAGTTGGATCGCGCAGAGTCGGCCACATTCCTGGACTTCTGCCTTTTCACTGGCTGACTCAGCTGTTTCTCCGATAGTGAGAAGAAATGGGGCCAATCAGCTGTCGGTGCAACCTTAGGGAAAGGGAGCATTTCTGTGAGAGTTCAATTTCTCTTAGTTAGCCTAAAGGGACATCCGGGAGCGGAACATGGACAATGCATCTGAGAGAGAGCTATTTGGTATTACACTTTTGCTCACAAAAAAAAACTCGTCCTCGTAGTTTCATTGAAAAATTCTTGGAATATTTTTATGTTCAGTCTATAAAAAAGCCCAAACTACTGTTTACCGTCAGCTATAGAAACTTACTTTTGAGCGGACGTTTCGATCTATCACCAACCTGATCTCTGCCTGATAATCAGGCTTTTCGAATCATCGGAGACATTTCTAAATAATAACCTAGACATTTTTTCAGACTGAAATTTCTTGAATCATTCCAATACGGTAGGCAAGTATGCTGACGTGTTCACAGTGAGCGACTTTGAGCAATTTAATACAATGAAATATGGCTTCCCAGTTAGCCTGAATCATAGGCTCCTGGGAGATTGGTTTCTCAGGCCGCTTTTCTGTATGTCCTAGAAAATATATGTATGTCCTATATCTTGTCTGTTACTTGGCACTGCATCATCCACCATCGTCCACTCAATGAAGCTTCAGTGACGGAAGATTTGTCTTGGAATTAGGAAATGGAAATTTTCTAGGGACTTTGCTCCGCAAAGTCACTCGGAACACTTTTTCTGACCTTCGTTTTAAGCATTACCAATCAGGAAGCAAAGCATGTTCAGGATTCGATTCATGTACACTTTGAACATATGTTCCAGGACAGAAGCATCATCTGGAANACTTTGCTCCGCAAAGTCACTCGGATTTATGCATAACCAATCAGGAAGCAAAGCATGTTCAGGATTCGATTCATGTACACTTTGAACATATGTTCCAGGACAGAAGCATCATCTGGAATTTCGAATACACATTTTGAAAGAGTTTAGTTTTTGCTTGCCTAATTTATACGGTCCTACACAATTTGGTTCTTAGTGTTTGCCCTATCTTCAGATGAAAATACTCTCTTCAAGCAACCTAAATTTCTACGAAAGCTTCACTTTCTTACTGCCAGTGACCATTAACTCAGTTCGTAAGGATCTGCTCCAAGGTCTTCGCACTGATTCAAGTTCACTGCGTGCCGAGGTGATCTCAATTAGGTGCGGTCGTACAAAAGTTCGCCCACCCCTTCTCACCTCGCACATGCATACTTCTGCATTAAGTGGGTATTGTTATCCTGTTCGTAGCATTTTTCCTTTTTCATCTGCCTTTTTTGGTTTTCGTTAGCCTTGCGGTACGTGCTGAGCCATCGTTTTTTTTCTTGAGAATATTTACCATAAAAAATCACAATACTACGTCGCCTACTTTGTGTGCTTACTTCAGCAATTGGTAAGTCATGGATCGAAGCGCCGTGGTTTCTGCGGTAGCGCACTTGCCAGTGCATGTAATAAACAAAGAAATAAATAAATAAGTATATACATGATCGCAGGTGTGAGTGTTGGTTTACTGGCTTCACAATGACGCGGTAGTAACAGAGTAAAGTGATAATAGAGTTCCGATAGTACAAGCCCGATGGGCATCTTAGGTACTGCAGAACAATGTTGGGTAACTCTTTATAGCTTTATTGAAAAATGAGAATTCTGTGTCTTGCTCTTGGTGTTGGTAGAGGTGGGATGTCGATCGCCTCCAGTAACGGAATTTGTTATCCAATGTACTGTTAGAAA